CAGCGAACCGCGGCCCGGCCGGGCTCCCTGCAGGCCACGCGCGCCGCCTTGGCCCTGGTGCCTGGGCGTGGGGGCGGGAAAGCCCAAACCAGACCCGTGGGATCCCGGCAGCAGCTAGGGAAGGCCATCCCGCGGCCCTTTCCTGTGTGTTTTTTCTGGACGCGGGATTAAAAAAATTAACACCAATTTGCACGTGACGTTGATTGACCTTTTTTTTTTTACGCTTCTATTTAGTGTGCTTTATTTCCCCGATTTCTGAAGTAGATGTTGAATGTGGAGGTGACATATATCCATTCTAGAATGAAAGCTTCGCTAGCATAGCGGTTTCTGTCGGTTTTGTTCACTGCTGTTTCCAAAATACCTGGAACAATTTCTGGTATGTAATAAGTGTTCAACAAAGATTTGTAAAAGGAATTAATGATCTACAAGTTAGGAATGTAAAGTGTTTTTCTTTGTGTGGGCCTATATTTATAATAAAATAAATTATATTCTATTATATGTATAATAAGATAAATGATTATAATAACTAAATAATTATAATTAAGAAAAATAGGTATATGTTAATACCTCTAATTTAAAGTATTTGATATCTTCATCCTTTCTCATATTTATTCTCATAATTCCTATGTTGTTATATCTAGAGGAGAAAGAAGAGTAACACCATCTTTAAAATCACTCAGCTACCATTAATAACCAACCCTTATTTCATCTTACTAAGTTAGTAGATATAAAGCAGTTGACGTTAACTCTAGGAGATAGGCATTCTTATTATCCCTGTATTACAGGTTAACAAATGGAGCATTGGGGTTAAGAAATTTCACCAGTGATTATGCAGTTAGGAAAGCATCAGACTTGGGATTTGAACCTCTGTCTGAAACATTCATGCTCTTAACTACCATGCATATGGTATTTAACTCATTTTAACTTCTTTCCATGCACATTTTAGCCATTTATGTAATGAGTATTGTTTTGGATGGATTGTGTTTCCCCAAATGTATGCGTTCAACTCCTAACCCCAATGTTTCTGTATTTGGAGACAGGGCCTTTACAGAAGTAATTAGTGTTAAATGAAGTCATAAGGGTGGAGCCCTGATCCAGACTGTTGTCCTTATGAAAGACGTTAGTGATGGCACAAGAAGTGAAGGTCATGTGCCTGAAGGCACAGCAGTCTGCAATTCAAGAAGAGAAGCCTCAAGAGAAACCAACAACCCTGCTAACACCTTGTTCTTGGACTTTCAGTCTCTAAAACCATGAACAAATAAATTTTTGCTTTTTAATACATCCTGTCTGTGATATTCTATAAAGGTAACCCTAGAAAACTAATAGAGACAAGGGTTAGGAATAGATAAATCTTCTGATTCTAGCTTATGTAGCCTTTTATCTAAACCATTTTTGACCTTGAGTTATTCTTTCTTATATTGCACTTATTACCCACAGCACTTAGCAAAATGACTAGCACACAACAGATGCTTATTAAATGCTCTGTTCTCAAAATTAAGACAATAACAGAAGCAGAAGGGGAGGAGGAGGCCAAACTTATTGGAGTCTTATTTTCCTGTCCCAAACCGGAACAATTGTTTCTAACAATATTGTTTCAAAAACTGCAAACATTTCTAAGTGAATAGTACCAAGTTTGGGGGTCACTGCCTGGAAGATAGGTGAACTGGCTTATTTTACATTGACTCATTTCAGGGATTTACATGAGATAGTGGTCCCCCCCTTGCTCTCACTGCACAATGGTAATATGACCTTGAGATGATGGGGGAGAGAGCAGATCACAACCCATTGAGGTTGTAAGAATCAGTGATCTTGTTCAGGGCAAAGAACTCATCATGGTTTTACTGCTCCCAACAAGCAATCTGTTTGGCAAACCCTAATTAGTTTTGTGACAGGCACCAGGAAAAGAAAAAGGAGGATCAAGTTGTTTTGTTTTTGGAATCTGTCACAAATGACATGTGAGCCTCCCAAAGATACAATTTCTTAGTTCCAATAATGATACAAAATGGCAATTAAGAAAACCTTGTAAGAAAAAAGGACAATACACTGCGGATCCAAATATGCCTGGGTTCCAATTTCTGCTCTACTTTCTGAGATTAAATCACTTGAGCTTATGTTATCAAGGTCACTAATTTTTCGGTTAATGCATCTGGTAAATTGGAAACACAATATCTACCTGAGAGGTTTATTAAAATACTGACCATTAATGCTTTAAAATTATTGATTCACTGCCCAAATCATGAATAGTAGTTATTTTTACTAATAGGCATAGGGGACTCTGCCTTTAAACATATATGTTGGTGTGCCTTTTTTGTTAAAAGTAACTGAAAATGAAGATACATTTATTAAATGTGTTTTTTTATGTTAGACATTTTTAAAAAGATGTTTAAGGTATTTGGTGGACATGAATTACATAAATATTTTATAAATCATCAACTACTTTAATTTAGATGGAGTGGGAGTATACATGGTGGTAGAGAAACCTTAAAGTCAAACAGTGAAGAGCTATTGACAAACATAAATCAGAAGACAAAATTTCCTTGAAATCATAAACTGCTAGAAAAAAATTTCATATTTCTAAGGTCTGATTTATGTGCATCATTTATTTAAGACCTGCATAAGTGTAAATTTTGTTGTTGTTGTTGATTAGTTTTTGAAAAATGCATCAAGTAAGCAATTATATGAAATTTTTGGCAGTTTTGTTTTCATATGTATGAAGGAGGTACACCTTTCTTAGTGATGAAGAAATAAACCATGTAGATGCTTTTTTCTTCTATGAACAATAAGATCAGTAAAAAATTACCTTTTGTATTGTATCTAAGGGGATGGTGCTAAGGGGAAGTGGCTAATAATAGCCCAGTTGTTGAACAGGTTACTGCCTCCTGCCAGGGCAAAAACATAACAAAATAGAAAGTAATATGACCTGCACACAAATCAAGTCTTCAGACAGAAAAGGGTAGCATGTGATCAGAGGTAAGTTGCGGAGATAAATAGATTGGCATATGGAATGTTCTTTCATTTCACCCCTGGAGGACACTTTATTGGATTACCCTATTAGTGGATTCAGTAGCATATATAATAAAGAACAATTTCTAATTTCTTATTACAAACATAGCTTTTTTTTCATAGCATCAACAGCTGAATCTCTAGGCAATTACATAGATAGTATTTCAGTTTTCACTTGTAGGTAAAGAGAAATGCATCCTTAGAGAAAATCCAGTGCTGTGTTTTTACATTGGAAGATTTACAATTTTTATCTGGACAACTGTGACATATTCAGTTTATTGAGACATAGTTTGAATTTTAGCCCTGAAAATGATGTGCAGAAATCAATCATGTTAATCTGAGCAGAGATTTGACTACTATCCACCATCCACATGCCAACATAGCTCTCTTATAGCCATCATATATGTAATAAGTATGCAATGGTAAAAACGTTCTACATGAAAAAAAGATAAAGAAAAACATTAATTCTAGCAATCAAAATTTCTAAAAATCAAGAAAATTATATCAAGTTATTAACCAGAAAAGATAAAGGACTTAAGTAATTTAAAGAGTGAAATGTTCCACCTGGACATGACTGAGATTAGCTCTAAATGGAGATGTTGTGTGTGTATGTGGAGGTTTATGATAGTGTTTTATTGAATGTTTCAACCAGAATTTATTTTAATAACTTTTAAACTATCTTTAGCCCTTTATTCACCCATTAAGTGATTGCTTAATTTTTCAGTTATACTTAATTGCATTTCATCAAGGAAAGTCATATACTATAGTGATATTCACAGATCTGAAGATCCTTAGGCTAAGGACATAGCTCTCAAATATCAATTATCTACAATTTGAAAGATGATTAGCAAATGGATGGAAGATCTATATTCATTGTGCTAAGTGAGACAAGCTTTATCTGTACGTGGTAGCATTTCTTTCTTCTCATATTACTTCAGAATAATATTTGTGGGCAAGCTAGAACAAGTAGTTGAAGCTTTTGTTGGTTACTGACAGGTCATTGTAAAGACAGGGAGAATCAGTATCTCACAATATATCCTCTTGTGCCTTGCTGCATTGGCTGGGAAGCTCTGCTCATGGTAACTAATTTGGCCAAACTGGAATCAAATAGTCTTAGTACTACTATGAAAATACATATAAAACAATTTCATTTACTTTGCATTGCCTCAAAGCAAAAGAAATACAGTTCTCACCCCCTCACTTTACCTCAAATGCATTAAAAAATAATTAAAATAGTTATGAGTAATGTACATTAGAGATGTGCTAGTTCAACTATAATTTGAAATAAAATAAATTTCTGCTTCAGGAGTATCTGTATTTCCACAAAGTAGGCTTTAGTGCCTTCATTGATTATAAAATCCCTCTCAGGGATTTTTGATGGCCAGATTAGTGGATAGATTACTGAAAAGGCATTAAGGATCTGAAAGGTAAATTGACACTGACTGTGCATCCAACTTTATCCTAAAACTAATACAAATAAAAAAGTCACTGCCTGGTTTAAAAAAAAAAGCTTCATTAAGAGTGTAATAAAAAAAAAATATGGCAACTGGGACCTAGGACCTACTTCCTCCTAGCTCTAAAATTATCAGAGAAACTGAAATAATGTAACTTTTTTCATGAAGAGAAGGCAAATATATTTAAATACAAAATGTATCTTGTACATTTTACATTTACATTTTGTACATTTTCTACAGTGAACCTATAACTTCATATTTTTGTAGTCTATAAAATCTATGAAGTATTTGTTGTTGTTGTTGTTGTTCTTGTTGTTTTGAGTTGGAGTCTCTGTTGCCCAGACGGGAGTGCAGTGGCCACTCCCGGCCACCGCAGCCTCGACCTGCTGGGCTCCGACGATCCTTCCGCCTCAGCCTTCCAAGTCGCTGGAACTACAGGCGCGCGCTACTACACCCGGCTGATTTTTTAATTTATTGTAGAGATGAGGTCTCACTGCCCAGGCGGGGCTCGAACCCGCGGGTTCAGGACATCCACTCACCTCAGCCTCCCACAGGCGTGGGATTACAGCTGAGCCCGGCTAAAATCTATGAGGTATTAACTGAATTATTACAAACTCAATAATTTGTGGCAAAGTTACTTAATTTACAAAACACAACAAATAAAACAATCTTTTTTGTTTGTTTGTTTTTGTTTTTTTTTTTGAGTTGGAGTCTCACTGTCGCCCAGACTGGAGTGCAGTGGCCGCTCCCGGCCACCGCAGCCTCGACCTGCTGGGCTTCGGCGATCCTTCCGCCTCAGCCTTCCAAGTAGCCGGAATTACAGGCATGTGCTACCACGCCCAGCTGATTTTTTGATTTATTGTAGAGATGAGGTCTCGCTGCCCAGGCGGGTCTCGAACCCGCGGGCTCAGGCAATCCACTCACCTCAGCCTCCCAAAGGCGCGGGATTACAGGCTGAGCCACCGAGCCCGGCTGGTGTGACTTCTGAGGCCAGTTTCTCTCTCTGTCTGTCTCTCTCTCCAACTCTCCATCCCAAGACTCAGTCTTGGAACCTAGCCATGCTGTGAAGACAAGAAACAAACCACATAGAGAGACCACATGTAGGTAGGCAGACCAGTTGACAGTCTCAGGTCTCAGCCTATCACCTCTACAACCATTATTAAAACCAAAACATGTGAGAGTGCCTTCATAGGATTTCAGGCCCAGCCTTATAGCCTGACACTGAGTAGAGCAGAAATGAGTTATCCTCATCCAGGCCTGCCCTGCCCAACCCAAACTGCAGATTCAGAGGCAAAAAAACATTAACATTTCTTTAAGCAAGGGTTTCTCAGCCTTGCACCACTAACATTTTGGACATGACAATTATTTTTTAGGGAGGGCTGTCCTGTGTATTGCAGACTGTTTAACAACCTCCTGACCTCTGGCACTTTGCACACGTGTCCTGACAATCAAAAATGTCCCTGGAGAGAGGAGACAAAATCACCCCCAGTTGAGAATCACTTTTAAGCCATTAAGTTTTGGGGTTATTTATTACACGTTTATAGTCATACCTTGTCTGTCGCTGTACTGGACATCATCTTCACCAACATAGCAAACATCTCATTCAATACCTTGTAGAAATCAAGTAAATTGGAACAACTCTAAAACATTTTATCTTATTGATTACAAAATAATTTGTTGACTAAAGCTTATATTATCTATATAATATTGCATAATATATTTGGATAATTCCTCTCCTAATAGGTGTTCAGGTTGTAACTATACTGTTTTTTTATAAGCATTATATAAGAAAGTATCTCAATGTATAAATGTCTTATATAGT